TAAATTTTTGTTACCCTTATATTTATTGGTAAGCCACTATCAACCTTTTATTTTCAAATGGTAACATACAATTAAAATATCATGAATCAATAAAACCATTTTTTTCATGAATTTACGGGTTAACATTTTTATTTTTTGTTGATTGGTTTGTTAAATACAGCTCCTTAAAGCATTGGTGGCTTTTACTATTTATCAAATAATTGTAATTGTAAAGACCAGGAGCTAGTGATAAATTCGATATCACTGAATCCAAGGTAACAAAATAAATAACAATTAATTAAAGATTCCTGTTGTACTTTGAACCTTAATTATTTATTAAATAATAAATTATCAACTAATTATATTTATTTTGTTAACTTGGACTCAGCGATATCGAATTTATCACTAGCTTCTGGTCTTTACAATTATTGTAAAAATAGTAAAAGCTACCAATACTTTGAGTAGCTGTATTTTACAAACCAATCAACGATAAATACAAATGTTGATGCGTAAATTCATGAAAAACAAAAATGGTTTTATTAATTCGTGATATTTTAATTATWTGTTACATACCGTTTGAAAGTCAAAAGTTGATAGTGATTWTATCAATATTTATTGATATATTTATAAGGGTGAAAAAATTAAAATATTATAAGGTTTTACAAAAACATAAACCTAAAAGTTTTTAAAAAAAGTTATTACTTTTCGAGACAATTAGTGCACCCACTTAAATGTATCACCCTGTATAGGTACTACAATATCACACTATAATTTTCGACTGTGATCAAGATTCCTACAATTATAGTTTAGATATTAAACTGCATCAACATTGACGGTAGATAAAAATACTAAGTAAATATTTTATTGTAACAAATCGATAATGAAAATCGAAATTGTATAATAAAACGGTTATCGATCATAACACGTAATCAATTTAAAATAAATTTTTGTTGATTGAGACCTACCTTCTTTTTCTTCAAATTGTGTAGGAGATAGAACAATTGTAAACATTATATACAAAATATATTACTTAAATTAAAACAGAAAAAATATAATACATCATAATATCACTCGGTATATGTATTATTATTTAAATTTAATYAATTTATCTAATCTACCTAATCTGAATCTGAATAATAATAAAATAATATAGAAAATTAAAGTATGCAGTTCACTTATTTTATCAGCTAAATTAATTTGAACCGTTAGGAACAGGAAATGAACGACCCTCCAACATTATTTTATGAACTTTAGTTATTTAGGTCATAATAATAAGTAATTTAAACTATCAGTGCTAAAAAATGAATAAATTGAGTCAAGTCCATATTGTCATATTACATTACATGTATGAAAACAATATTATTATTAATTAAGGTTGGATTTATAGAATTTTCACAACTACGAATATTGTTGTGTACACGAGTATTGTATACATATTACATGTATTAATTAAAGACTTAAAAGATTACATAATATTGTATAGCCGTATAGGCACAACAAATACATAATTTTTTTTTACACTCAATTTAAATTGTTTTGTAGTCCATATATTGCATATAAATACAAAGTTAATAATTGACCGAATCACCGCAGTTAAAAATAAATGTATTTAACAGAACTATAGCAATACAATAAAACAGTTTATACAAATATAAGTTAACTAAATAGAGTTAACGAACTAGGTAATTTCCGTTAAAAATTTAGTTATCGCGACAATTTTCACCCATAAAGTGAGCACCTATGCTCTATAGACAAAAACAATTTGTATTTATTATATATATATATATATGTATTATAATGTATGATGATAATTTAATTAATTACTTACTACATTGATACTAGTACGATTTAAAATTTAAACTCAATTATGTAAAATAAATATTAAACACCAATAGGGTTGTTTACAGTGAATTTACGACTTACTTTTTCTATCAACAATAGTATAAAACACATAATGACACATAATGACGTTTAAGAAATTAAATGTGTCATTAGGGAAAGTATATAATTTCCATACTATTTAAATCGTGGGAAATTGTTTTGAATCTAAAGTCGTGGGTTCACGATAACCTATATATATTATTATAGCTATATAAAAAAATCGTGTTATTCTCCTTTTGTTTCCTATTTTTAAAAAGTGATAGCTGATGGCTATAATATTATTATTCTTAGCTTTTTATGTTTAGATATATGTAAATAGGTTATTTCATCTACATCATCATTTCCTTATTTTTCCGTTTATAATAAACATTCATTTTYTGATTTTTAAATATTTCTAAATTTACTTAAGGGGTATTTTTTCTATATTTAGATTTATGTGATTTAATAAAAAGTGCCGTGCAGACAACAAACTTTCTTTACCAAGATGAGAACTACCTTATTCATAATTAATTATGAAGAAAATGTTTATGCTTTATAAACTAAAACTCAAACAAATAATTACTAAATTATCAAACATTAGGGAAAAATAAAATTACATGATAATAATAAGAAAATTATTGTTATTCAATAATAAAGTGCATAATTTTAATATATATTTAATAAATGGTGGYCCGGAATATGCATTGAAAGGACCAAACTGTGGCTACTATAGGAACACACACATCCACATTACTCATGACTCATATATCTAATATATTATATATATGTATAGATATGATATTCAGTTAAATTTGGAGAAATTTCAAACAATTCTAAATATTCTGTAAATCAAGATATCATTGTAGCCATAGCTATAAAAGTGTATTTATATGGTTGTTTACGTATATTCAAATTTTACTTAATATCGGTGCTGATAAATATTTCAATAAATCAATATATCGGGTTATCATCGCTATTTAGATATTATTTATAGAAATTTTGTTATCAAATTAAAAGTATATATTATATTGTTTATCTCATTTCCAAAAGAGATAGTCTTAGTAATGATCCTGATAATAATTAAATTTCCTCTGACCCGAATATCTGGAGGCCTATGCTTTCACATTAGAATATGTATAGTAATACCTAATAATAGTAATAGGTATAATAATATCACAATATCAGTTTATTAATATGCATAAGTGAATTGGTATTTGTTGAGTATATTTCAAAGTTTCAATATCTATGAATGTTTATAAATTATTTTTATTAAATTCGTCAGGCTGGCCCACTGAAACGAGTGCCCACTACTTTATTGATACGTTAATATAGATGAAGTTCCAATAACCCTTATATAATGAATAAACATTTGATCAATGGTATGTTTAAATGAAGTAATACATTTAATATTTTAAATATTCATTAGGTTATACAATGTTTATCTAAACATTTTTATTTGTACAACCCACAATGTTAAGGATTTAACTAAATGTCGGCATTAAAAAGTTACGAATTATTAATTTAGCTTTATGAAATGTAATTACTTACGTTTTGTAATTCTATGTCTTTGAATTAAATAAGACCACAGTAAACGGATGTTAACGTTCATAGCTAATATACAAGTGATTTTATACCCTTATATTTTTTTTGAAAATAGGCACGGGGCCCAATGGCTATGGTTTGAAATTCATACCAGAATGTAATGTACCCTTCTAGTTATTCGAATTATGGTAAAAATCCTCCTATTAATAGATAAGTGTAATTGGTAATAACTTAAACGTTTACAGCTTATTTAYTTGTTTTATAATACTTCAATTGCATTTTTTAATAATTTAATCAATACATAAATAGTTGAATTAGGTAGCTAAACGAATATAGTCAAGAAGAGACGAAGAGGTATGATCAAACTTAAATAATACTTTACTAATTAACAATTATTATTATACTTAATATTATACTAAGAATCTCTTGAATCTCTTGAATATTCTGTAAATTAAATTATAAAATAGCTAAGATTTCATGTATCCAACTGTTCTCTATAAATACTAGTTATATTTTTCAATTTTCATTATATTTATACATTATAATCATAGCTGCACAGGTACTTACTACTTAGTACAATTGTGCGTAACACGAATCAATTTAGGTGTAATAAATTATTTAAAATTTACGTCAAATTGCATGAATATGTCGTCTACTTTATCAATATTTATYATTTGGGTGATGTAATAATACTTATTGAATTTTTACATAAAATGAAAATTCGGCTTTTGGCCTATGAATTTTTGGTGGTAGGGCGGAGGGGGAGGAATTATACTTTCATTCTGCCTGAGTTAATTTTTAGAAGTACGAAACTCCTGTGCAATGTTATATATTTTTACTAATGCAGACAATGCCATATACTTAGTATTAAAATTTACAAATAGTATATAACATAATATTCTTTGGAAAAATACACTCTCGAAGCGTAGTGTAAATATATACGCACACGGCTACTAATRGTTAAGCCTGACTTAATTTCAGTGAAGGGTATATTAATTGATATAAAAAACGGAACAAAGCATAATATACATCTTAGTACCTACTTAGCTTATAAGTTGCAACACGATACTTTTCAGCACGCATTTGCTATGGAAAAAATACGCGCAAATTCATATAGACGACATATAGTCATGGCGACAATAATAAAGATTTATTACATATATTAATATAATATGCTTGTATAAAATATTAAGTCACAAAACCAAAGGTGCCAGAAACGAGGCGCAGGGAAGGAGACGTCCGAATAATATTGTAACATATTTGTCTGTTTGTCATTGTTATTAGTGTTTGTGTATACAGCACATTGGTCGTGATAATAGTAAGTGTAATATCGCGGAGAATGATGAATAATAATGAAAAGAGAAATGAACGACGTYGGCTGGTGCAGTTGCAGAGAGAGAAATGAAGACCGCTGCCGTTGCATCTTCGCGTGCCGAGCGCGTTCTTCCCCTTCCGCAGGCCGTCGATCGCTTTTTCCTCCGTTCACACAAATACACGCCGGCCCAATAAGCGACTATATTATTATTATCATTATACTCTCTGTACCGCATTTACCACCTTTCTCCTCTCTTGCATTTTTCGTTTCGTACGTTTTTCGTGTGCCCAGTTCATTGCCGCCGGTATTTTCTAGAACGGAGTCAGTAGGTTGTGGCCCTGCTCCAGGTGCATCGTATCAGTTGTACCTATCAGTCCGTACGATATAACACACGCGCAGTCTCATGCTCACACTCTCGGCGACGGACGACCGGCACGCGAATTGTATATAGTATAGTAATTCACTTCTCCAGAGACACTTTAACAAACGTATTCAACGTTGTATCGCATTCATTTTGTCGTATCAACGTTTTTGTTTTCGTCATTATAACCTTTAAACCGACATTTTTTTCTATTATTATACATACAATCGTGACAGTGTAATGTGCAACTGTTAAAACAGTATACTTATATACCTACGCGAGCACAAACCGTATTCCGTTTATTGACAAAAGAGTAAAATCTATAGCCGGCGATACGATGAAGAGTCTCGGATTTTCCGAGTATCTTGCCATTTGCTGGTGCCTGTGTCAATGTCTTCTATACCACGGTGAGCATAAAATTATTTGTTTTATCGATATAATGTTGTTTTTGTATTGACAACATTATAATTCATACGAAATTTATTTGAATATTTGAATGGTTTTAAAAAATCTGAATTTGTTTTATGTATACATGTATAAATTTGATAAGGTTATAAAATATTTTGACTTATCGATATCCATCCAGAATATTCATTAAATGTTCTGTTAAAGGTTAGGTGCATTGCATATCGTGTACTTCGCAGTACCTAGTATTTCCACCCAGCGTTTTAAATTATGTTCATAAAATTAAAAATATTAATTTCCTATAAGCACTTTTCAAAATTTTTAAAGTATTGATATATTATGATAAAAATATGTACCTACACGATAAGAAATTACTAAACATTTAATTAGCTAATAAATTCATAGCTTAATTAGCTTATTAAAATTATATTTTATAAATCAATATTATTTTGATTTTAACAAATAATTATTATCCTTAGCAAAGTTCTATATAAATATTGTAAAAATAAAAAATAAATTATACTTGTTACAGCAAATAACAATAAAAGCATAATACGTTAATACCTATATATAGGTACACAAAATGGCTTTCAATTACTTTATTTTGGTATACATAACTAGATTTAAACATTTGTGTTATTTAAAACAATGTATTTCATATTGTTAATGWWATAATTTATAGARATATATGTGTAAGTTAATTTACCAATTCAATAAWTTTATAGACATAAAATATATCAAATACATGACTTCTTTTTTTTTTTTAATGGACGAAATTTATTAAATTTTAAATCGTTGTATGAATAAGAATAGTTAATGTTTTATTTTATTTTAAGCTTTTAATAATATAACTAAATTTTATATATTATGTAGATAAATAATACGTACCTATCGTATTACGTACAATTGTTCAATAACACTTCGTAAGCTTAATTAGTTTTGAAACTTTGTTTAGAAATATAATATTTCCTAGAAAAACCATAAACTGTCTCGTACAAATATTTCATTGATAATTTTTTCCCCATGTGTAAATTGTAYACAAGATTATTTCCAATAGCCAATTAATCAATAAATAAAGAGAGTCAACATCAAGAAATCTAATGGCGATACAGATAACTCATTTTTTCTTTGTATTCGAAAAAAATAAAATTACACGTTTTTCCAGTTCAATCAGATTTTCCAATCTATATATTATACTTACCAAGATTGTAGCTTTAAGAATTCAAACAATTTTCATGCTAAAAACTTCGTTGTTGTCTGTCACAACTATGATTTATTCTTCATCACATACTCTTTGTTAGTAAGTTATAGGTTGGCCGCGGGGTGATGCAATAAATATCATATACATATATGAAAAAATTGAATTCAGAGTAAATCACATAAAAAACAAAAAAATGTTATAAATGTTTTATCAAAAACTATGTTTTGTTCTATGAACATTATCATTTATCACAACGTTATATTGTAAAATATTTCAGAATTATTAATTATAGTTGGTAAATATTTGACATTTGCCAAACAAGACTTAACGGTTAAAATACTGGTTGAACCGGAACGTATGTAAATGTGTGTAATGTGTATCCATACATGTTATAGACAGTTTCGTGTATTTTATTTCAAGTATAACATTTATCCCTAAAAGCGGAAAATCAGATATTTAACTTAATTTAACAAGAAAATTAAAATGTAACTGAGTATTCACTTTGAACCAATTGAAGTGCGACTCTATACTGATAATAATAATAATATATTTATTTTTTATCTCTACCTACAGAGTAAATTATTTGTAAGAAGATCCTTTTCTTAGATGTATGYAGAATATTATCTCTTATCCGTCCTATACCAAACTGTTTTATTATGTTCCTCATGCTGCGTTATTTGTTTTTATTTAATATATTATTAATACTTAAATTTATGCTTGTTATAATATTTGAATAAGTTAAATAACAAAATACCAATTGCTGTAAATTTATAGTTATAAAAATTTATAGACATTATAAAATTAATTATATAAATAAAATAACTATATGTACTAAAAAGTAAAAAATCTTCATTATGTGGGTACCTATATAATATATAAATCAAGAAGCATTTTATCTGATATCATAATGTCTATGATAATATACACAWACACATATTATATATTTTATTTTATATGCGTAAATATATATTTTTATTGATTCCTAGGTATTAACAACCAGCAGTTTAATCACTTAGTTATTGTGAGTTTTTAAATTTCAGCTTCAGCATTTAATATCATTTATCATATTATATTACTATAGGGTTTTAAATAAATAAATAAAACAACACTTACATACACATTACACTACAGTCTTCGAGTYACGRCGACGGGAAAAATACGCAATAATATAATTATTCGAAACTAACTAGTTTGCAGTTACTAACTACTAAAAAACACAATATATAATATCATCTAAACATGCAAAAGACGTCAGTAAGGTTATCATAATACTTAATGTTTAGCGATTTTGCGCTGTACCCAATCCGATTTGTCACAAGTACACATTTGTGCCCTTGTCGCACAAAACGTACACATATAAATAATAAAATAATATACATACATATAATACTTAGTTTACGCTTTAAATACGCCAAATGATATTTTAGATCCAATCTTATTTTTATTTTCCGTGTAACTCTAACAAACAAGATCCGACAAGATACATATTATTATTATTATCGTATAGGCGGCCCCCATTGAAATGACAAAGCATCACGAGGGACACGCGTTTATGCATCGTCTACGGACATACTATGCATTACATACCTAGATATAATGGGCGAAAGGTCGATGTCAGTGCCACACGCGGCTATCGGAGTAGTAGTATAATATAATATATACGCCTGCACGTGTACGTGTAACAAGTTTGTGTTATATAAACCATTTGTGGACAGGCGGAGGGAAATGAATACGATGCGCTATAGTGTTGGAAAAGCGTGGTGTTGTCGAGGGAAGGCCCAAAGAGAAAGAGAAAATGCTTCACTATAATAGAAAACTGGTTGCATATTATTATATCCGACCGTTGGAGATGCTAACGTAAATTTATTTTATTGCCTAAACTACACACTATGATATTTATACAAAACATTACATTCATTCATTATCAATTTTTATGAAAAACTTTTATTCGATATTCATTAAAAACACCAACAAATGATACTTTTTGCAAAAAATTTAAGTTTTCCTAATAGCAAAATTAACAATGTTCAATATTATTATTCTTCTGCTTTTTACAATATTTCTCTGTTAATTATTGGAACTGTCATTAATGCAAAATCGTGTAACTAAAAATTACAAGTGACACAGGAGAAGAAAAATCGCATCAATTAGTTTCAGAGGAATAAATATYAATAACCAATCTTTTTCTCGGATTAATAGAAAGATCTTTACTACAATTCATAAGTTATGTAAATTATAATATTTTAACATAGTTTAATGCTATTCTGAAATATTACAAAACAAGAATGAAGATACATAAGAATGTGTTCGGAGAGGGGAGGGGGTTTGAGAAAGCAATCGATTCATGGTAGCTTTTTAAAAATGATGACTAGAAATTATGAATAATAAAAAAAGCAAATACTAGGTTTGAACCTCTCCCCCATCATCATCATATGAATGGATCAATATACATCCCTGGATCTGACAGCTTGCAACTGCAAACTCCTATATTAAAATATACTATTGAACATCGACTGGAGCCATGCAATGCAGTGCACCGAATTGCACTTCGCGAGTCGTTCAACCCGATTGATTCGTAATCTAAATCTGCGGGAACAGTAGGCATTATACATATATTAAACGTGCACGTGTAAAGTACGTAATATTGATGATAAACGAGTGCGTTACACACAGGAATACAATGAAAAATATAAAAACAAATAAAAAATATGACAATGAACATACGATCATTATTGACTAGGAGTCTCGAGAATTCAGACCACGAAATGGGTACCGTCGCTGAAACCGAGAAACCGCATTTTATATTATCATTAGTGTGGTCAGAAGAGCAAGTACGAGCACTGGTGCGCGAGCACCGGGCAGATATAAACAGACCTATTTCGATTTTTTCAATTTTTTTTCACACATCCTCTTCCAAACTCATATCCAATTTTCCACAACTGCACGCCACATCGATTATATATATATATATATTTTTCATACATATATACAAGCACACGGAGGTCACCGATGACCCCATACGAAAACTGGTTCTCGACCTTGTCATTACTATATATATACCTATAATATATATAAATTACAATATTATACATACTGTTTATAAGTGTATATTATGTCGCGAACAATCATCACGACGAACGATCACTGGCTTTAAGTATATTCATAAGTATGCTCGCCACCAAAGACTCCAAATCGTTTCTACGATTTGTTGTTCCTTATTTGTAATTTTCTTCGATTTCCGTGGTCGACAGGAGGATCGTTGATTGCGGCAAAACCGGTGACCTTGCAAAACGTGTGCTCTATAATCTATCATTAYTATACAACATTAATGTTATGCGTATTTCACTGCTGCAGCGACATCGTTATAATATACGATTCACTTCGTACGATATATTATCATCGGAACTCGATTGGTTCAGTGAACTTTCAGCCGAGTTGTGTCATCACTCACCACCGCAGTAATAGTATAATATAGTCGTMTTCGCCGCCTCCACCGCGACCGCCACCACGCGGTGATTGTTTTACGACGACCTCCATTAAAATTGTTTTGCGATCGAATTCCATCGTGTATTACATTATATAGAATTTAGTACCTGCGCGCCACATTGGCACGGCAAAAACGCGTAAATGCGTAATTATATTGTTATATAGTAGGCACTTATATATAGTACCACGATATATTATATTGAACCTCAAACAGACGCCGTATACCCGGGTTGGGATACCGTTATGTTATTATAATATGCCGATACTGTTGTCTCGTCGTAAACGTCTGGTGCAAAGTAAAGGCGTATATTATAA